AAGGTTCAACAGTAATTCGTCCATTATTCCATGAATATCCTACAGATAAAAATACACTCGATATCTTTCTACAATTTCTCGTCGGACAGAATATCATGTTAGCACCAGTAACTGATGATGGTGCTCGACAAGTTCAAGTATATATACCTTCGGCTGATTGGTACGATTACTATACGGGTGTTCGAATGTTGTCTGAAAAGCAATATATCACACTGGATGCACCACTGAATACGATTCCAATTTTTCTACGAGGTGGTGCAATTATTCCTACTCAAGAGCCGGCAAATAATACAAAATATTCTCGGTGAGTAGAGAGACAATTATCTGTTACTTTCATGAATTTCTCATTATGGCACTAGAGAGAAGCCATTTGGTCTGATTATTGTATTGAATGCCAATGGAAATGCCGAAGGTGAACTATTCTATGATGATGGTGAATCGATTGATACAATCGGATCGAAGTCCTACTATTATGCGACGTTTCAATGGTCTTCACAAGATCGACAATTGAAGATCAATGTTGTGGAAAACAACTATGCTCACATGTCAAACTTAATACTAGATTCACTAGCAATATATGGATTTGATCATATTCCAGCAACTTTTATTATTGATAGCAAACAAATGCTCTCGAATACTACATTTTCGAAGCAAATCGTCAATGTAATGGGACTGAAATTGCGAATGGATAAAAGTCATACGTTATCGTGGACGTATATGAATTAGACAGGCAGTGTCAAATATTGCAAACAAATTGCACTACCTGGAAACCTTGGTCTTGAACTTTTCAGAAGCATTAAAGCTTTTCTGTTATTCATATGTCTTTGCTGTTCACTTTTTAGATGAAAGATAATAATGAAGAGGTTAAACATGTTAATCTGAGAAAACTCAAGCGTCTTATTTCGTATTTGTTTATTTATAAAATATATATATATGAAATAAAATGCATATGAAAAGATATGGTTTTGGACATAAGTTAATCAAAAATTTGAAAGCAGTTTTGAACGTATGCAGAATTGTATGAGATCAGTATTATCTTGTTCCATTGCTCAATTTGGTTTGATCATTTCTCGACATGTCCCTACGGACTTAACACTACTTGCTGGATTTGTTTTGATAAACTCAAGTTTGATGAACCCTATGAGTAGTGGCCTTGCGAAGTTAGACATGTGTGTGGATGTTGGTCTTATCGCAACCCACCCATGCCCACACCCATACCCTAATATAGATATAACAAAAATGTATGAAATTAGATAGTACGATACAGGTTAAGCAGAAAATGTTTTTTTTTCACATATCGTGATTGAAAACCTTTTCCTTCAATTATTCTTGCTTACATTTTGAAATGCGATTCAAACACTACACGGTCTTACGGAATATATTGTCGCGTAGTCAAAATTTCAGTTGGATTGCTATTACATAATTCTCGTCATTTTTTCTTTCTTTCCTTTTTGCAGCTGAACGATTCAAGATCATTTATTCCTTTTTTTAATTTTTTGCCAATACATTAATTGTATATGAAAAACAAAGTCGCCATTTTTCTAGAGAAATAAATTCTGCACAGATATGGAACCAAGTCACGTTTTAGAGCAACTGTAAAATTTCTCAGACACAGAGAACGGAAGTGACTACTCTTATCTCGACTGTCCGTGATATTCATGCGCGAGTATCACAATGGGAATAGGTTTTTTTTGCAAAACGAAATAGGGTGTAGGTGCTATCTTCTCTTTATTTGCATGCACACCCACACCCGAAAATAGTGTAACAGATCTTGTATTACTTTATTGAATATTATCTATTTCACATTTTAATGAAAAGAATTCCTCTTTGTATTTAAAGATTTTTGAACAATTTGTTTAACTAAATTTATCATTCGAGGAATCTAGTGTAATCCTTCGATAAGATAAAAGAAATTTAAAACCAAGAAAAAAATCATTTTTTTACAGAATAACGTGTAGCCCAAAAGCACCACCAACGAACAATGTCAATTTAATGCCGATAAACTTTATAAAGCATTAGATGGTATTAATAAATTCATCGAATCAAGTCAAATAAATGATAATGAACAAAAACAATTGACAAAATCTGTTGAAAGTAGCATCAATGCTGTCAACCAATTAACAAATCAAATAGAAGCTTTAAAATAAATATTTATTACAGTTCTTTCTTTTTTACACTTTATAAAACTATTTTAAGAAAAAAATTATGTGGAGATGTCATGGTTCAAATATATACTCATCTTTTATCAGTGTGTGTTGAAGCAATCGAGAATAAATTTCAAGAAAATAATGAAATTAATAAATCTAATATTAATGAGTGTTATAACGTTCTGTATCATTATAGTACGTTTAATCTAAAAAAGATCAAACGTGAAGATATCAGTATTGATGATAAACCATTACGTATAATAAAGAATATGATTATAGAGTTTTGCGAATAGCAGACGTGCCAATAAACACGTTCATTGATTTCTTGTTATTGAAAGAGTTACAAAATCTTTTGATGCGTGAATACATAAATATTTTTGTAAATGAAGTTATCGATGAAAAAGTTACAAAAGATGATTTACTTTCAAGTATTAAAAAAGAAACTAAAATCGAAGCTGTAGTAAATGAAGAAGAACAAAATAAATTAATCAGTTTATTACAGATAAATATTCAACATCACAGATGTAAACGTCAATTGTAAGTTGAACAAATTTTTATTTACCTCATAACCTTTTCATAGTTTTTAGGCAGACTATTGTTTGGAGATTATGTGAACCTGAGGGGGTTCTATCTAGCTTTGGTGTCGATCCATTTAGAATGGTTGTTGAAGAAACATATGTGGTTTGTTCCCCTTTACCATTAAACTAAAAATTATACATAGTTTGTTTTTTGCCTAGAATCAAGGTACAATTGTTAACGATATAGTTAGATGTGGGTGTGGGTGTTCACGTGTGAATATTCGAAAAGAGAACTCACACCCACACCCACACCCTCATGGTTTTTTGCAAAGGAAGAGTATATAAGACAAAATTAAAAATTTCCCACGATTTAGGGTATGTCACAAATACTGCTGCGTATATGCTTCTGATCGATTTTTTTTCTAATTAAAAAAAGGAATCAGTATCATTATAGCTGCTGTGATACTTGTAAAATATGTCAAGGTAATGATTATAATCATATATAAAAAGAAGAAAAATGGTTGTACGTTGTTTTCGAATTGTAGCTGACAATTCTTTCATTGATATATATATATACAAGCAGCACTGTGAATAGGAAAAATTTCGATTCAAATCATATATTGAATACGTAATTATTTATTGTCCTTTTTGATATACGTGAAAGAATGAAAATCTATGTATCTATTCGTTAACAACTGTTTAGATGAAACCAAAAATCGAAATTTTTTTCTGAGTACAAAAAATTGTATCATTAGTATTTATTTATTTATTTATTTATTTTTTTGCTCAATTTATGATGCATTATGTATATCTACAGAGAGATTAGACTGTAAAATAAACAATCTAGAATCAATAATTGTTTTATTTATCATATATCATGAAATCTAGATAGCTTTCAGCATTTTGTTCAATATCATTTCAGATGAATATATTTCGATTTTCAAGTTAAAATAATTATGATTATACAAAGTAATTCTAATTTGTCGTGTCATTTTTTTTTTGTTGTGAATAAAGCTTAGACAATTTATATCACATGTTAGAAGTAAAAGTGAAGTCTATAATGAATACGATAGTGTCAAATAATTATTTACAAATGCTTTTTGTTCTTGATTAACAACTGGCAATGTATTAACTATTATTGACTCAAAAAATTTGAAAAGAAATGAGAAATTATATATACTGATCATGTTGTTCTATTATAAATATGGAAGAACATTAAAGTATTTATATTAGATTAATTCTCGAACTTAAATATTTATTTTTATTAAAAAAAACAGTTGCTTATCTAAGTGATTGTTGATTCCGATGAAATGTTGCCATATTCATCATAGAATATACGTACACGATTAGGTCTTAAATTAAGCGTTACTAGTGACTCTGTTTCTAATTTGATTACATTTAAATTTCTAAAAAATAGACAATCTTTCACCTATGAATTTCAATTAATAGTAATGAAGTTCTCTTGCTTGAGTTTTTCCTTTTAATCATTGTAATAGCGTCATCAACTGGTTTACCAACAAGCTCAGGCCACGATTTTTTTTACTTGATCTATTTATGAAATTCGAATATTAAGAGATGAAAAAATATATATGTTTTGCTTGTTATTATCTGTACTATTGATTATGCGCAAAACAAATCGTTATCATTTGATATTCATATAACCCATGTGACAAATTAAATAAATGTCCAGGTAATAAATATAGCTATTTGTGATTAGAAACATAGATAAGCACATTTGTTTTTTATATCGAACCTGCTAGAGGCTTCATTCGTATATCATGACAGAACGTCCGTTGATTTTTTCATTTTCAACGAATCTTACATCAGATTGAATGATATTCATGTGTTGAATTCAGGTGGAAGTATAATATTATTAAGTGATTAATAGAAAAAATTATAAATCGGTTTTCTTTTGGATGGGTGTGGGTGTGGGTCTTGCTCTTCTATCCATCCACACCCACACCCACATCCACATCTACACCCACACACCCACACCCACACCCACACCCACCCACACCCACACCCACACACACCCACACCCTAGCCACACCCCACACACCCACACACCCACACACCCACACCCTACACCCACACCCACACCCACACCCACCCACACCCTCACCCATCTATTAAAATAACTAAATCATATTTAATGATGATTCAAAATTGTACTGAAGATTTGGAAGTTTTTCTTAAACAATATTTAATTGAATTTATCAATGTAGAAAATAATTTTCAGCATAATATTAAAGAAGAACATATTGCAGTGATTGCCAAATGGATAATCGAAATGTCAATTGGTCTTTTTAATCCAATTAAATTTTCGATTTTTACATTTATTCATAATCAACAATTTCCTCGAGTTCAAAATGCAATTTTTAAGGCTCTGAATTCGATATTTATTTATCGTCTTCCACGAAAAGAACATATTATATAATTATTCATTTAGAAAAAGTTATTTATTCTTGGAATACATATCCCGAAGATATTTTAGCTGTTTGTTTATTAGCTTATGATAATTGTCTATTTAAATTACAAGAATTTAAAAGAAATTGAAACATTTCAGATGAGATGCATAATGTGCTTACTATTCTTTTTAATACATCATCATCAGAACTTATATCTATTAGAGCTGCTTTGTGTTTAATATTCGCTCATGATTCAAATATAATATTTAGTAAAATACCAAATTGGTTTGAAAATAGACAAGATATAAAGTACAATTACAGTTAACTTTATATC